GGAACCGGGTGCGAGCGGGCGCGGTCTGTGGGTTGCGTCCTACAGCTCGAGTGCCTGGCAGAGTCCTAGGGGTCCCCCCACCCGTCGGGCGTCGTGGGGTGGGGGGGTTTCACACGATGGCAGAGCCGGGAAGGCGTAGACAGGAGGCCTTGTCCCGATCAACTTCCCCTTTCGAGCGTTTTGTCACTTTTTGGTTGGGCCTGGGCAGACGCGACAGGCTGTTTTGCTGCTCAGAAGAGGGCAGGTGTGCCTTGCGTTTCAGCACTCACGTCTTGCTATTACAGCTTTCCCTTCAGTTCTGGTTTTGCTTATTTACCCTGACGTGTTTTTCCTTCTGCTTGCCTTGTTTCGCAGCTTCTCAGTGTGTTTCTGAAGTCCCATCCTTACTTTCTGCTTAACATGTTTAGCTTGCTGTCAGAAAGTTTCCCCATGCCTCTGTTGTGCTGGAATTATCACAGGTTAGATGGGCAGATGATTAATCTGTGCCCTCTGCCTAGTAAACTGCACTGTAGATTGCAGTGTTGATTTACCATCGTAATCCTGTTTCTCTGTTTCTTTGGATGCTGGAAATACTTTGAGTGTGTTGGAAATATTTCAAGCCCGTTTATTTGTAGCTTACCTATGCACTGAGGTCGCTGTGATTCATTCGCTAGGTTAATACAGAGTACACACTTCTGTCTGTAAAGCTGAGATCAAAGATTTGCAGTACCAGAATATGAATTTTTACATAGTGGCAGCAACTTTTTTTTTTAAAGAAGGAAAAAAAGCTAGAGGTATTTCCTAGTGTAGGGAGAAATGATACTTGTAGACATGATGCATATCTGTAATGTCATGATCAAGTAGAAATACATTTGATATTTGTTAGAAGTTCAAACTTAATGAAGCGGAATGGAAAAGAAACACGTGACTTACTAAAAAGAAGACAAGGTTTATAAAACAAGTTACTGATGTTTTTTGAGCTTATCAACCCTTCACTGGGTGTTTGGGCTATAAAGGCTATGACTGTACTGATCACATTTCACAATATCTTTGTAGTTTCCTGTTCTATTCCTGTTTATTACTGTGTATGCTTTTGAAGGTCAGGGAAATAACGAGCATCTATGAACTGAAAGGGGAACTCTGCTAGCCAAATTGAAAGGCGTATTACTGACTTCCCTTGAATGCTGGAATTGAGCTTCCTTTTCTGATGCTGCCAGTCAGGTTTATGATTAGTTTTCTATCTGAAATCCCTGTTTGGCCTAGCTACATCATATGACTTCACCCTATGCAACACTGCTAAAAGGGGAAAGCCCTCTGTCTGGTTCTGGTCCTTCTCTTATGCCATTTCTGGAAGGCAAAAGGTGTACATGGCCTTCTGACATTGAGCAGCTTGGAGGAGTTCAGTGGAAGTTCAGATGAACATCGGAGCTGACGCAAAAGAGAATAGAAGCAGTGTTGCTGAAAGCCAAGGGGCTGAGCGAGACCTGCCTCTTTTAGTGCTAGTAGATCATTAAATTAATTCAAGCCATAGTATGCAACTTCACCTCAGGTTTTCTCTCTGAATAATGGAGAGAAAACACTTGCAATTGCCTCATTACCAGTTTTCCTTTGGAGTCAATTCCATATGCAGTGATCTGTTGTCTCTGCTGTTGATCAGCAGATGACTTCAGCTGGCGCAGATGCTATTGCTGTAGTCAGGAGTTATTGAATGTGGCTCTGCATGGGTGCCACCTTATGCGTGAACAAGAAGTGATATCCCTGTCACACAGAAGAGGATGCTTTAGTGCAGCTTATACAACATCTGCATTTTCAATAGCATTGTTTGCGACTGTATGTTCCCTTTACAAGTGAGATAAGATGAAGGTCTGAATTATCTGTAAGTTAGAGAAAATAAACCAATGGGATGTATGTTTTCCCTTATCTCTAACAAGTTACGAGTGGTTTGTCCCTGTCTGACCATTTGTATTCGTTGTAGTTGCTGGAAAATAAGTTTGTTCTTTTTCTGTAAGAATATTCTGATGTATATTCTGTTAATATTTTGTAAGGCACAGTTAGTTTTTAAATTCAGACTGACTGCACGCGCAGAAGTTTTAAGTACCCAGCTGAGCTTAACACTGAAAGAGCACAAGCGTCTGAGTGCCTTGCATTTCCCCTGAAAATTCCCTTCCCTCAACAACTTTCAGTGTTTTCCTGTTGCTGTGTAACAGTTGTACTTAGTCTTATGTTTAAGTAACAACATGAGCAAGATTTTCCTTAAAGTTGGAATTTAAAACTGGCTTGTTAGTGAAGTAAGGTTGGAAGAGCTAATTACGATATGGATACCCTTTGCATACATTTACTTCTTTGTGGCTTTTTATAGACCATAATACCTAGTAGAGCACTGTACACCATTTAACTGTTAAGAAATGAGGGCTTAATCTTCTGCTAATTAATCTAGGATTTGCCCACGATTTTGTGAACTTTAGAAATCTTGTTTTGCTGAGTAGTTACTGCAGATTTTTTTTTCTTTAATGGAAGCAATGAACTCAGTTGCAGACCCATTACCTAGGCAAACACTGACTAGTAAAGCTTTGAAAGTGCCTGGTGTGCTGTTGTTCGGCTGATGAATGTACATGCTTCTCTTGGAGATGTATCTGAGGTACCCAGTGAAAAAGGGCACAGTGTAACTGGGAAAAAGACCTCTGCCTGCTTCCAAGCTTTCTTTGTTTTGTGAGAATGTAAGTGCTCTGAAGGTGAGCTCCGTACAGACGTTTCCCCTTAAATTCTGTCATAGCAGATTTGATTAAGTGTTTTTTTTCTTTTTTTTCTCTTCTGAGTATAATTAAGCTTCAAGGGGTTCCTTGCTTCCTCTCTTGATATTAAAGATAGCCTGGACTTAATTTTCTTCTTCTGGAGGGATAGGGTGGTGGTGTGAGTTTAATTGGTTTGATTTTGCGAAAAACTCTTGCAGTTCTTTAAAAAAAAAAAAAAAGCAAGAAAAAAGGGGGAAAGGGAGAGGTGCGTGGTTTTATATCGAATGGTTGAATTCTCTGAGCTGAAAGTTGCAGTTCTGGTTTCCAGCTGTGAGTTCAGGACACCAGTTCCTATCTAGAAGAGCAAAGGCAGATCTTGGTCTCTTATGTTCTTTCAAAGGAGATTTTTCTTTATGATTCTTTGAAGGAGGAAAAGGATTTGAGGTTCTTAATGCAATACATATATATTTGATTAAATTCTAATTTAAACCTTGACTTACAGCTCATCTGACTGCTGTAACTCATTTTTTACTAGCATTTAGCAGTGTGTAATGCCTGCTTTGATAAAACTTAGAGAACTAAATCTGTGTTGCTGATATCTGCCCTCCTCTGTAGTTGGAACTCGGGCAGTTGATACCTTTGCGTGGTTTTCTGTAGTTCATCACTGTGGCACAGCCGAACACTCAGTGTTCATCTGTGTTGCATGGAAACTTCTGTTCTTTGTGTCTTGATAGTTAGGTTACTGTAAATTTTGTTTTAAATAATGCCTTTGTTTACCCTCGTCCTTTGCTGTGTAACCAACTTGTGCATCAGATGTGGTGCTTTCTTCGATATTCGTTTTCTGTCTTTGTATTGCTAGTTTTATTCTGTTCTGTCAACATCTCCATTTACCATTTTATTTATTTATATTTTGTTTATATATACCACTATATTTATGTGTGTTTAGCTATGCTAAACAAAACTGAATGATTTTATGTGTGGTTTTTTTTTGTTTGCAGAGTTTTAAAGAGCTCTTAAATCTTGAGTAGAATTTCAAGTTCTTGAAGAAATAGAAAGGACACCACATGCTTAAAATAGTGAAGAAAATAGTAACATAATTTCTGAACTTGTTTAAAACCAACCAAACAAAGTGTCCTGTGTTGTTGGTATTCATAGATGTTAAATGCAGCGATGTGCATATTTGGGAGGAATATACACCTCCTTGGCTTATTTTCTTTGTGGTTCTGTTGATGTACAAAGAACAGTCTGTTTGCAGACAGCCAATGAGTGCTTAGGTGTGCCGACTTTGCCGGGGGATTTAACAAGCTTTTCTTCTTGACTCTGCCTGCCCTCATGGGCGATGAGGACGGGGTAATCGTGGAATGTGGGAAGACGACTCGGCTTTATTGGTGGCTTTTGGCTAACAAATTAAATTGAGGCAGGAAGAGAGAGTGTGGAAAGTCTCGTTTTCTTTGTGATACTACGTGAAAATGACTGTGTTGAGACCTGCCGAAGGCAGTGAAGGAAGTACATTTAGACATATCCATTGAAGTGATCTTCAGTGCTAGTATTGAGCTAACTTTTGTACTGCTCGTGTTAATCTGTATGACTGAAACCGATTAGGGGAAAAAAGAGTGTGGTGGCGTGATAAAGAAGACTAAACTTAAACCGATGAGAAAGCATCATCATGCAAAGCTGCATTCCTATAACTACAAAAGGGATGCTCTTGTGTACGATTTTTATAGATCAAACCTTGGATGTAAGGTCACTTAAAAATTGTAACTAAACTATATTTACCTATTGCTTTATTTCAAGTGGTATATGCTTTCAAGGTATGACCATCCAACGAAAGATGAAGAAAATAAACAAATGAAACATCTTTTATGAAAAATAAATGCATGTTCTTTTAAAGCCAGTACCTTTCAGGTACTAGCTTCATAAATATTGGAAGAAATTAGTTACTGTACTATCACATAGCTTAAAATTGTCAGACTCTGTTGTTGCCAATATTTTGGTCTTTCTGAAAAACAGCTTTGGTTTGTAAAGTGAAGTCTCAGTGGAGGTGTGTTTGAAGTCTGACTTCATAATGGCTGCTGTTGTACTAGCAACCTTAATGCTGAAGTACGACAAGGTAGAATACAGATTTATAGATCTGTGTAAACAGTGAGAAAAAATATCATTACCCTTAAAATCAACATTCACGTTTGATTTGTGTTGTGTTTGTTTTTAACTATGCCTTGCACATACTTGGTAAGTTGTTAAAAATAAAATTTAATCTTGGTTAAACTACTGTCACAGTAAACATCTGCAAACTTCTTTTTTTACCATAGGAGCAATTTATTTCAACTCGATTAGTAGTGGAAGTCCTGCTGGGTTACTGTTGCAGATTATGGTATCTTTTGATGCAGTTTAGTATATTGTGTCTTAAATTGCAGTGGCTCAGTTGCAGTCAGAAACCTATAGTATTATATACATTGGCAGGTAGAATTCACTGAAGAATATGCTAACACTGTTTGTATTGTTATATATGACTTTTAAAAATGCTTATTGCATTTTTAAACATATGTTTATTGCCTGCAGAGCATAGGCTTTGTACCTCTGCTTCGTGTCTAGATCAGTAGTGATTAATATTAAATAATGTAAGGAACCCTGTTTCACAGGCTATGAAACTCATCACTACAAGGTGTTTTATGTATTGGGAATCTAAACAGTTAAAAAAAGAATTTGACCAGTATAGTGTCAGTTTTATGCCCATGCGGCAAGTGCTACAGGAAGAGTATAGGAAATAGGCTTCACATGTTACAGGTTCTCAGCAGTTGGCAGTTTAGAGGTTTTCTGTTCTGTGTCCAGTCTGTCAGGTTTAACAAGTGGTGCGGGGGTAGGGAACAACTTGGGAAAAGTTTGAATTGCTAACTGTTGCCTGGATAGATTGTGTGAGGGACTATGCTGTACTGGCTACATTATCTTTTTGGCATTCTTTGCTAAACGTCTTCCACTGTGAGTAGACAAAACATTGGCACAGAGAAGCTTTTGGTTATGATTCACTGGGACTGCTACAATATACTCTAATGAAAACTAAGCTTACAACTAAAGAATTTTATCAAGGATTAGGCTCTCCAATTGATACTGTGCAAGGCAAATGGCATCTATTTCAAAGACACTGAAGTTTAAACAGAGGAGTCAGAAATTGTAGGAGAGTGGGATGTAATATTCAGATCAATAAAGTGCAGTGTAGCTTTTTAATATTATGTTAAATGCTGTACTTAATTTACTTTTGCAACATGACTTAATGTTTAGTGTACTCTTTGTCTTCCTGTATGTATACAGGGACTTCTTTGCATGGCAGTCTTTTCTAATCACCCCCCATCAGAAAGTGGAATGAGTCAGCTTTGTCTGTGATACTCTGCTACTACCTCTGACTGAGACAGGGTTTCCACGTTACCTATGGAAGACTACCTCCAATTGAACTTGTTGCTCTACTGAAAAAATACCTTTAGGCAGAGTTTCTGTCTGTCTTGCAAATCCTCCATAGTTACAAATGAGCTGCACGACTTACTTGTGTGGGGGATTTTTGCACCCTTTTCCTTACGTGCCAGTGTAGGAAGCAAACTCTTAATTGATTTATGTTTCTTCCTTATTTTTTTGTAGATACTATGATCAGCTGTGTTCAATTGAACCAAAGTTTCCATTCTCTGAAAATCAGGTAAGAAGACTTACCAAACCATTAAACTGATGTATGACTTCCACGCATGTACCTAATGCACTAAACACAGGGCATTTTATCTCTTTGAGCCTCATTTTCCTAATCTCTGTTTATTTTCTAGTTGGTGCACACATATAGTCTATACTGAAGCTTCACCACTAATGGCCGTAGTTGCTTTTGTTTTATAGATTCATCAACATTTTGACTTTCGCTAGTGGTTGCTGTGGTCTAGGTCAGAAAGAGTTGTGGTGTGCTGATTCCTCTTCAATTCTTCTTTTTCCAGCAAGTCTATTTCATACTACGTTATAAAGGCTTTTCAAAACATAATTTCTATGGGAGAACCTTTAGTAGTGGATGGTATATGATCTTTGTTTTCTGAAGCAGAACAGGTGCTTCATTCACCACAGCTAACAGAATAATCTCATTTAAGAGCTTACCACTTTATTCCTGCCTCTGCATCTGCAAATGGCATGATTTTTATATAACCATGGTGTTCATTAAGCTTTTTTCTACCATGTTTCTTTAGAATGCTGTCTCTAAGGAGAGGAGAAATCTTCAATCTTTTCAGACTTAGAAGATTACAAATAAGGGAATAGTTTTAGTGCAGTTCAAACTGTTTTGAGTTTTTGCGTGTAGCTGTATTCGCTTGTAGCCAAGAATTACACTTTGGTTTTTAGCATGCAAATGTTTAGATATGGTGATTTGCAAACCCTGAGGCATAGAAAACTAGAAAACTTCAGGAGCAAGTTCTGCAGATCTGTAAATTCTTACATCAAAGGGAAGTAGTCATGAGTGGAAGCAGTAATGAACAGCTGGGGACCAGAATTCCCTGAACTAGCATTGCTGCTAGAGCAAAATACATTATGAAACAGTACTGTGCTCTTCCTTAAGTTAATCTCCACAACCGCTTTAAAATGAGGAACTATGCTATCTTTTTTTGGTCTGATACCAGTTGTCTACAACTAGTTTGATCAGCTGAATAAGGAATCAAATTGTGGAGCTTCAAAGCAGATTCTGTGAAGTACCTGCATTGTCTATGAAATATATGCTGGAAATGTAGTATAAAACACACTGGTTTCACCTGCATTGTCTTTCCTCAGTGTATTTCCTGATGCTACTGCTGATGAATTCACTCATAAAAATGAGTGAATTTTGGTATTACAAACCAGTTCCAAATATGCTAGTAATTTAGAACAGTGGAAACTGCCTGGTTGGATGGTGTCCTTCAGCTGTGACTCTACCTGAACTGTCAGACTTCTTGGGAGAGGAATATCTTGGTTTGGAAATATTTTTATCGGTCACTCAGAATATGAGCAGAGCTGAAAGATTATTTTGAGGTTTTCTGCCTAATCTGCTTGAAATGTTTTGAGCAAACTGACAGGAAGGATAAAAGGTGGAATAAATTATTTTTTTAAAATAACTCTTGATGACATGCTGAAACTTCCAGAATGTTTGTAATGTTACAAGTGAATTAAATGTTTTATGCAATTAGAATATTAACGGATAAATATGTGAATTTGGGATATTTTCTGAAGATCTCTTATTTAATTTTGGAGATAAAGGTCTTTCTTTTTCACAACTTTCAGGTGTGTGTAACATTTACATGGAAAGATGCTTTTGATAAAGGATCACTTTTTGGAGGGTCTGCCAAACTGGGTATGTGAATGTACTGAAAGTGTGCAAGTATTAATGGTACTAAATTTTGAGAATATTTTATATAACTGTATTGTTAATAGTCTTTCTAGTATTCTCAACATAGCTTTCAGATGACTTCAAACGTATTGGTGACAGATTAATAACTTTTAACATTCGTAATGAATAAATGGGCACCATGCAAGGAATTTCTATAGGAATGAGATTTAATAGGAGTTTTCTAGAGGCACAAGTAGATGTGCAGTGTGATAATTGTGCTGTCTGCTTCTCAGACTTTTTCTGGGAGCAATCCCAGCTGACATTACTCAAAATTGTTCAAGTTTAACATTAAGTTTCAGTAGTAGGTTTTTGGTAAACCAGCTCTTACTGTTCTAAATGAGTAAGATCCTCCTGAGATGTGCTTGTGAGTGAGTCCCCCCCAGAAGAAGGGGAGTGATGGTAGCTGGCTTCAGTAACCTAGTCTGATGTCACATTTTGTTCAAGAGAATAGAAGGATCTGCCTGTGCTAGGAAATCATCCTCTTACCACTTTTCAAAAATGTTTTCATACAGATTAGAACAAAAAAATTGTGTTTGTTTCCTGCAAACATAGGGAGTTTGAGTCTAGTATTCGTTTGTCATATAGGGACAATTCTGCACTGCAAATTCAGAATCATTAAATGAATTTGGAACACTTGCCAGTAGAGAAACTAGACTGAATCCTTTGGAGTTAGGAGAGGAGCTGTTCGGTCATGTGTCATAATTTAGTGTTTCTATTTATACCCAAGTGTTCATTCATGTTAATCGTGCAAGATGACTGTTGCAAATTCGAAGCTCCAGACAAAGCCTGAAAAAAGTTATTTATTCTCTTTTCAGGTTTTTTTAAGTTTGTGTCCTTGTTATATAGCTCCCTGTTGTCAACTACTGAAAAGCCTTTGCAGTTTTCCAGGTTCTGAATGCACCTGTGCACACCTTTCCTTGCTTTGTTTTCTAACTGTTCTTAGAAGTCCTTCTGGATAATTGGAGACCTTCCTGAAGATGCTGTTGTTTTTTTCTCAGAACTTGGTTGGTTCTGTCTTCTTTGGGGTTAGTGTTTCATGATGATTGAACCTGTTTCATAGTAAAGTTCAGAATATTTAATTATGACTTAAACATAGTCTGTAAATTGCCAGAGATTTATAGTAATTGTGAGAAAAAGAATCAGTAATCATAATGTTGATGATTACCCTGAGAATTTGAATATATGTGATGTTACAGCAGCTTGAGAAAGCTTGTTTGTCTGCAGGTTAATTACATACTAGTCTAAATAATGTGAGGCAGATGGCCAGAGATTTATGCAACAGTTCATGTGAAATATCAAAGAAATTCTTAACTGAGATGTGAGTAGTGCTCGTTTAACAAGTAATACAATAAATTTTATTTTGAAACTTTAAAGCAGATCTTAGTGGAAATAAGTTAACAAAAGGAGTCTTTTAGTATATATTTTTACAGTGCTGTATTGCAGATTATCCAGATGCTGCTCTCCCAATTAACTATAGCATGTGTATATCTCTTTTTTTCAGTTCAGAATTAACAGTGGGATTTCTCAGTGTAAAACAAAGTTTTCAGTTACTGAGGTAGCAAAGTTTCTGTTGATTTCTAAAGAGGAGGTGATCCTGTCTCCGGGTGGAAATTCAATATAAAATTCCTTTGACTTCCATGGGGCCAAGATACAGGGGTGTGACTTGAGAGTTCTGGCTCTCGATGTGGTGACAAACCATTTTCAGACCATCTTCCCCACAATCCTAAGTCCGTAACACAGGGGTAGCTGACAGATACTATAGCTGCTTGAAAAGTGACCCAGTTCACAGCATAGTGTGTAATCTGAAATATGTTGGCTTAAGTTAGCAGGTAGAGCTATAAACAGATGAGTCTGAGGAAAAGCTATATTGCTAAACAGCTGTTCTCATTATAGTAAATCACACTTGGGATGCAGTGCAGAGTATAAAGTAATTATGCATACTAAGTAATTTTGCACTTCAGAAACTTAAAACCATATTTTCTTTCCATTTTTATGTTTGTTTCGGTCTTTTGAATGATGTGTGAGTTGTACAAGCTACTCTTTTTAGAAAAATTTCTGGAAAATGAACTAGAGAAGGGAGATGATCTATATAAAGGACTATTATCTTGATGAAATACAGTGACTGTGTAACTCACTTTTCACTCAAGGAAACAAAATGGGAAAAATAGCATGTCAGATTTGTGGCTGCTTCTCTGGAAACTTAGTGCAGGTCATGAAGCACTAACACAGAAGCTTCAGAGATATGTTAGATAACTATGTAGCTGTATAAGGAGGCTGGATGTTAGTGAAATGAAACAAATGTGCCTCTTTGGTACCTCCATGTTTGAAGAGTGACTTAGAATTTGTACCTGGGTTTGTGAAATTGAAAATTCACGAGTTCAGTGTTCTGTATTCTCCAAGAGGAATGTCTAGATGCTCTTAACAGTAGTAGGAAACTAGTATCTGCAGTCTTTAGATTTTTCCAGTGCTTGCATGTGGCAAATAACCTCTTGAAAGCAATTTATAGATTCAAAATGGTTCCTGTTCCGGTATTACTGTTTCTAGAAGTGTGGGCTCCATCCTCTGGGGCTAGGAAGTACTACAGGAGTAGAGTCTGGAGAGCCCACAGAGCTATCTAGTGGGCACGTTTTAATTAAGTAAATCCATAGCTGTTTTAGTACGTGGTTAATCAAGATATTTGTTAGTATTTTCAGTCTGAAACAGTAGCTTTGAGAGGTGAAAAATTCCCTGCATTTCAACAGATAGTAAGATAGAAGATGTAAAAATCTTTGGCCTCAATGAGAGAAGGCTACTTAACCTTGCATTCAAGATACGGTAAGAGCGTATAGTTGGGCCATTACTGCAAAGTGATTAATGTGTGGATGTTCGTATTTCAGATTATCCTTCGGTAATGCGTGTGTTTCCATATCTTCAGGAGCCAAAAAGCTGTGCTCCAGTTAGACTTTCAAATTATTTTGTCTGTTGTGTAGATCTTCATACTACTGCTATTATGCTTTATGCCACTCCATAGTTCCTCATGTCAAAACATTTTGTAGAAGTGCTAAATTAGACTATGTAAAGCCTTCAGAATGAAAATGACTTCAACTTTAAAAGTTCAGCATGGTTATTGTACCTTTTTTTGGCATGAAACTGTTGATATCTTTAAATACAATTATTAGTTGTGTTGGCTATAGGATGCTAAAAGTATTGAGGTTTATTTTCTTAACAGTATGGGTAACCGTCTGTTTTGATTACAGCTTTGGCAAGTTTGGGGTATGAGAAGACCTGTGTTTTGTTCAACTGTGGAGCATTGGCAAGCCAGATTGCAGCAGAACAGAATCTAGATAATGATGAAGGACTGAAAGCTGCAGCTAAGCACTATCAGGTACAGAGGCTCACTGCTTATGCTTAGGAATTCAGAATTGCTAATCTTGGAACATCAAATAAGTATCTCTCAATTTTAAAGCTATATATACGCATACATAACTACATATACACACATATTTTCCCTCCTTTAATTGCAAAAGTGGATTGGCCAAGTACCTTGTCTTGGCTCATTTCTTTACCAGCTTTGAAGGATTTAATTCCGTACGGTTCCCCCATACCGTTTCCCTCAAAAGTGTTGGTAACTAATAACCTTTAGCTTAAGATTTAATAATTTTAGCAAGTATGAATTTTAGTTTTAAGAAATAATAATATCTTTCTTCTTTGTGAAATGCGTTAAAATTTCCCTGTTCTTATGCTGTTAGGTGTAACCAATATACCTTTACTTATAGTCCATCTTGATAAGCGTCTCAGAACAACCGACTTCAAGAAAAAGAAGTCACAAGGAATTGTTTTTAGTGGCTAAAAAAGAAATGGGAGACTGTACACCAAAGAAGCTCTAGTATTTTAAAAAATTGTTCTATATATTGTATTTGTGAGAGAAAAAGTCTGTTTGAAAACATGAATGATAATATATTATTTTGTTTTGCTTAGTTTGCAAGTGGTGCGTTCCAACACATTAAAGACACTGTCTTGTCAGCCTTGAATCGAGAACCTACAGTGGACATCTCTCCAGACACAGTTGGAACTCTCAGTCTTATTATGTTAGCTCAAGCCCAAGAAGTCTTTTTCTTGAAAGCAACAAGAGGTATATCTTAATTTTGGGCTTGTATATTTATATGCTCATTGCAACTTCCACAAAACCTTACAGGTGTTTTAAGTTACTAAGAGCTTGTAAAGGGCCTTTCAGAAGCTTATGTTTTTGCCTTTACTGATTTCTCCATTTGACCCTCTGCAGGTCATTAAGCACAAACTACAGATGCCACTTAAGAATTTGTCTAAGGTTCACCTGACAATTCAGTTATCCTATTTGCCTTTCTTTTTATGTCCAAAACCATTAGTCTTCATCTTTACAAAGGTTTTTGTTGGTTTATATTTTTTCCTTTTCCCCCTTGAGAACAAAAGACTTTCTTGACAAGAACGAAGAGTACTGGAAATGGTGCATAGGTGTTTTATCACTACTTCCTTCCTCCTTTTTCGGAGAATGATTTAATGAGAATTTAGAAATAAATGACTGTGCTAGGAAACAAAGGAAATTTCCTAAGAGTTTAAGGGAAATAAATTCTGTGTGATTTCTCCAAATTTTAAGAGGAACTCTTTGAGCAAGTCTAACTTTGAGAATGCTCAGTTTATCTAGGAAAGTGAAATCCTGCAGGTGGAACAAAAAATTATGTCCCTAACTGTTAAAGGCTGATTGTGAAATACTGATTCAGAGGCTGCATATTTGAATAAAACTATTAAAGTACGTATGCTTAAAAGAATTTTTCTGTGGCACAGTACTATCTTCAGTACAAGATCTCCTACTATTTGCTATTCTGCTCTTCTCTCTGTATTTACAAGAAGTTGTGCACCAAGAAATTACAAATATCTAAAAGTAGAACTAAGGACATAGAGGTCACATGTGATTGCCCACCAGCTGCTTCCTCTCCCCTCATTGTTTGGAATACAGTGGAAGACGACAGGGGTTATCCTAAGTGGGATGTTTATTCTCTTCACAGGGATGATCCCTGAAAATTCTTGCAGTCTTACTGCCTTTAGGAGAATCTCAACAAGAAACTATTGTCCTTCAGCCAACTGATAAATTGTGTTTATGTTCTTTATCAAGTTGGTAGCAGTATTTTAGTCTCTGGCTATTTGGACATTGCTTTGAAACAAATTTGTGTAACAAAATACCTGAAACTTTTCTTCAGAGCAGGAGTAGACGCTTACCTCATTTTGCATGGGAAATAGGTCTTTCTGTCACCTTCTTGATTTCTTCTTATGCAAAAACATGAAAAAGACAAAGCAACACCAATCCAAAACCCACATGTGCCTCATGGACTGAAGATTTTTTTGTGACTACTCCCAAGACCACAAGTCTGCCAGTGTTAGAAGGACAGTAAGGTTACTAATCAACTGACTATGGAGGCTGTAGGCTTTGCCAGATGTAGAGGTTCTTTTCCCTGGCAGGAAAGACATTTTGTCAAGAATCATGTTTGACAACTTGATTAACTTCAGAAACTTATTTTTAAAGTGGCAGTGCCTCAAAGTTTGATCTCAAAACTCAAGTTTAGCTTCTTGGTGCATTGACTTGCAATTTTCTGTTTTTTCTCTCATGTGAGAGTCCATTTAGTAGTTTACTAGCTGATAATATTATTTCTGATAGAACTGAGTTATTAATGAGTTAAAAGAAAGCAGAAGTGTTTGGCAAAAAAAAATTGTTCAGTCAGCTCGAACTGCACTGCATAACTACAGATCAGCTCTCCAGTTTCTGAGCTTTTCCTAATGTTTTCTTTAAGTCTGTGTGTGTTCACTATTCCATCTCAAGGCTTGCATTGTAGCTGCAATATTTTAAGATTATGTGAGTGAAAACTAAAGATTTTGATGAGGAAAGATCTATTCTGAGCTCTCTGTTTGGATGAAGGCGTCTCCTCTAACATATCCTTTGTTAAGGGAAATGTTGTTAATATGCCAATATTTTTGTTTGTTTTATTTTTTCTTTTCGTAGAGCTCAGGCTCTATGAAGGAAGGTGCAACTACCACACGCTAGGTGGAGCTAGAAGGACAATCTATTTAGATTTTGCTCGTTTTGGTTTTGTTAATTATTTAGTGCACTGGACAGAAACATTTTAGCAAAGAAGTTGCTAGATCTCATAAGGTCCTTTCTCTATGTCATCTTAATCCTGTTCCACAGTGAAAAGATCTTTCTGGCATACCTTAAATGCATTTACCTCATAGAAGGTAAGTATATTACATCATAGCTCATGCTTGAAATGTTGTAGGTAGATGTGTGAATACACTGGAATGAGCAGCCCACTTGGGAATTCTTTTGATTTAATTTTGGCAGTTAAGCATACTCTGCAGACTTCCTAATCTCCCCATGTCCCCCTGCTGATGCTTATCAATCTGGCAGTACATAAAAATCACCTGAGTCAGAGGATACTTGTTTGTAAGGGCAGCTATTCAGAGTGGACAGCCAAAGTTTGCAGTGATTGCCTGCCTTCTCTTGGAAGGCTGACTTGCCAGTGCAGGCCAGAGGTATGATTATAAAAGGAAGTAACGATACATTCAGCACGTTCCTATTTTAACAGTTTTGGCTTCAGGAACAGGGTGAGGACGTGAGGCAGGGAATACCACTGCCACTAGACACATGCGGCTCTGATATGAAGTAGTCGATGCCACTTGGAGGAGCTGTGGTTGTTTACTTATAGGAATGGTGTTTCTGTACTCGCTGTAAGCTAACAGTGGTGTGGACTGCCATGGAAAGGGCCAGTCCCTTCTCTTCTGTTGCACCCCTGCAAATTTTTGAGAGTCCTGACATGGAGTGGGGATAGAGAACAGATCCTGCTGAAATGTAACTTTTTTTTGCTAACTAGATTTCAAGTAAATTCTTAGACTGTCTCCACAAATGCTTGTGCTGGCACAAGGGAAGGGCTGGGAACCATCTGCCAGAGTTGGAGTGGGACTGTGGCTTTTATTGGCAGTTTGCCATTTGTCTGAGGTAAAGCATCACGCTTAATCCTGCATAAATGCCAGCAGGTGCCAGAAGATTTCTTGTACAGCTGACTGAACCTTCAGTGTCGTCATTGAAGTAGAAAATCTGGAAACTGCAGTTGGATGTCAAGAAGGAAGAATGGGGTCCCACTTTTGAGCTATAATGTAAAGCTGTACCCTTAGAATGCAGTTGTTGCTGTCTGAAGATGAAGTAATTTACCTGTTCACTTGTAAAAACTGATGATAATCATAATTGTTTTGTTTTTTTCTCCCCTTCCAGATAAAATGAAAGATGGCATCATAGCTAAACTAGCTAATCAGGCTGCAGATTACTATGGTGATGCTTACAAACAATGTCAATATAAAGATACTTTGCCCAAGGTTAGTAACTCTCATGGAAATAATCTGGGATCTGCTGTTATTGTGAACAGCTGTTATTGTTTACAATGTACTTGATGAAATACACTTAAAATGTATCCTCAGGAAAATCTGACATATTCCCACGTTTCAGGGAAATCAACCTGTAGTTTGAGAAACAGTGAAGAATCTAGGAGGAAAAAAATAGTGTGGGTTTTTTAAATAAGTGAAGTCTAACTACACACAGTGTGTTTACTTGTAACAGATTTCATTTAAAGTGAACTTGAAATGTTTATGATAGCATTTAGGGATGCCTTCTTAGTACTCTAATGCCTTACTAAATCTGTTTTTCAAACTAACACTTTCTAATGGGGCTTAATTGGCTTCTAGTCTCAAAGTTTTAATGTGAAATTTGCTCTTATGTTGACAGCATGAATACGGTGGTACTGTTCACTTACCTGTTAATGCAAAACATGACTGGAAGTCAGTGTGTGTGTATCCTCTGTCCTTCTGCCTGCCTTCTCCTCTTCCTCCAGCCCAAAACAGTCTTGATACTTTTAAATTATCTCGATTTAGTTTTGACTATTCATTCTGAGTGCTGTTGGTTTTGAAAGATGCAGAAGGATCTTTTTTTCATGCTCTTTGAATATATACTGTATAACAAGTACTTAAAAATGAGCAGGTGTTCAGCGTATCAAAAGTATCAATTATGTTCAAATCGTAAAATAGTAGAAGACCTTTTGTGCAGTGTTACAAATACAGAAGTTGGATAAGATTTCTTTACTTGTGATGTTGTTGGACTCTTGAAACTTATGTCTAGCCAAGTAGGAAATTGTCTTCCATAGTGCTTTTTTCTTGAATGTCTCTGGGAAGCATTCCTTATTGCTAATTTGCAGTTATTTTTCATTCATTGATAGTTTCAAATCTCCGAAATAACTATTCCAGCTTGCAGTAGTCTTTCTTGTTACAAATAAAATGTGAAATCTACTAGATTTACTAAAAATACACTGGAAATTTTACTAAAAATATATTTACCAGTGATAAATGGAAGTAGTTGATGTCTGGTCCTGTACCTTCATGTGCAATCTTAGTCACATAATTACCAAAGCAACTGCTAAAG